ACGCACCGACACTTTTTTGCCACCGTTCTACATCCTCGTGTACGTCGACGACTTGGTCTTTGCCACAGCTGACACTGCTGGACTCGCCCACGTGAAGTCCGAGCTGCAGAAGAGACACACGTGCACAGACTTGGGTGAACTGCGCCGCTACCTTGGCTTGCAGATCACCCGGGACAGAGCACAGCGCACCATTACCCTGACTCAGTCACACATGGTGCAGCAGGTCCTTCAGCGCTTCGGCTTCACGTACTCCTGGCCTCAGGCCACTCCTCTGCCTACTCGCCACTCGCTCTCAGCTCTGCCTTTGGATGAGTCCGTAGAGTCGAGTGGTCCTTACCCAGAACTTGTTGGCTGCCTCATGTACCTGATGACCTGCACTCGACCTAACCTTGCATACCCTCTTAGCATTCTTGCACGCTATGTTGCTCCTGGGAGACACAGACCAGAGCACATGGCTGCAGCGAAGAGGGTGTTGCGCTACTTGTGCAGTACGTCGGGCATGGGGCTTGTGCTTGGAGGGCGCAGTCCAATGGTCCTCACTGGTCATGCAGACGCTTCTTGGGATCACGACCAGGCTACGCAGCGGTCGTCACAGGGTTACACCTTCAGCCTTGGCTCCGGCTCTGTTTCGTGGCGGTCTACCCGCTCGTCTTCTGTTCTCGGCTCCAGTTGTGAGGCTGAGATCTACGCAGGGACCATGGCTGCACAGGAGCTACGCTGGCTCACCTACCTACTGACTGACCTAGGAGAGGCGCCTCGTTCTCCTCCATTTCTGTACGTAGACAACAAGGCCATGCTGGCCTTGTGTTGGGAGCACAGACTGGAGCACAGAACGAAGCACATCGCTCTTCGCTACTTCCTTGCTCGTGAGTTGCAGCAGCGCGGTCAGCTGCGTCTTGCTTACATGGCCTCTGAGGCCAACACTGCTGATATATTCACCAAGGCACTTGCGCCTTGTGACCATCAGCGCTTCTGTACTATGTTAGGTCTTGTACCTACCTTGCCTCACTTGCTCACTTCTTGACCTTGCTTGTACTGTTACATATATATATACCTGCTCTTGCTTGTTTAGTGTTATATATATGTGTGTACTCATGCATGTGAACTGGCCTTGTGGCCTTGAACTTCTGCTCGGAATGTGTGGTGACGTTGTGATCCACCCTGAGCCTGCTTTGCCTTGCTTTGCTTGACTGGTCTTGTGACCCCTTGTTCTCCCCCACTTTGGCTATTGGGGTGTGTCAAACTTATATGATCTAGCCTGTGTAGGCTTGTAGCGGGTTAGATACTAAGGGGTACACTATTCTAGGGTTTCACATTTGTATCACTTTCATTCCTTAGTCAATTTATTCTCGTTCTAAGTTTCTCAATATTCGGTACAAAACGGCGGATGTAGTTAACGAAGCCGAGGAAACTCTGCAACTCCGTGATGTTCGTGGGCGGCTTCCACTCCGAAATCGCTTTACTTTGCGAGGGCCAATTTTATTGCCCTCCCCTGAAACCACGTGCCCCAGGAACTCCAGCTCCGACTGTATGAACTCGCACTTAGAGCCCTTAGTAATCAGCCGGTTCTGCTGCAAGCGCCGGAAAACCTCCTCTAAGTCATGTAAATGCTGCTCTCGAATCTTGCTGTACACCAGGATGTCGTCCAGGTAAACAATGACCTTTTTGTCCAGCATGTCCCGAAACACCCCATTCATGGTGAGCTGGAAGGTCGAGGGTGCGTTCGTCAATCCGAACGGCATCACAGTATATTCGTAACTGCCGTAGCGGGTGCGAAATGCTGCCCGGTATCACTGTTCGACATCCCTCGGCATGTGTACGAATGTCGAGTTTCATCGAGGGATGTCAAGCTGCACTTCAGACACCAACACGCGTGGGTCCGACGGATGAGTTTCGTCGACGAAAATGTACGAAACTCGACGTTTGCACTTCAGACACGCCCTAAGAAATACTGTCCAAATTACAACACTGTATAACCCGTTATACACACAAAACCCTATTGACAATTCTTCGATGGAACCACCAATGCCGCCATGGCCACCTTTGCGTAGCCTGGAAGTCAACGCGCGTGAAGCCTACGTGTCAGCTGGCTTTAAGAACAACATATTTGAATTCGCCTCGTTAAGACGAAGAGATTGGTACAACCTAGGTGTTCAACTGACGAACATTGTATCGACTCTCAAGTCTAACCTGTTGTTATCTCAACTATCAGTACTCAAGGTTCTCATTAACAGCGCGTCAAACCCAGGGTCTAAGCTCGCCTGGCATGACAACAAGGATTTCTTCTATTGTTTATCAAGATTGTGTCTTTTAAAGGGAGGATGTTACCTCGATGTCTTATTAGCGACTGCTCAGCATTTGCAGTAGGAGCAATGGTTAGCAACGCTAACAATGAAACTATTTAACCATACTGTGCTCAGACTACCGGCATATCAGGCATTCCAAGCCCTATTCTCAACATTTCTGCCGAGCTCTAGTCATCATTGCACCATGCCTCGTGCACCTGCCATGGGGAAACCCCGTTAGCAGTAACGGGTGAACAACGGCTGCTGCTGTATGCGATGTTGCAGGGCGCGCTAAGGAATATCGAGAAAATTCCTTACAGCCGGGCTAGGAAAAATGGTTATGCATTTCCTGCTTCTATATTTGTTGTAAGAACTAAGAAAAATGGCATGTTGGCTGAGCTGATTTCAAATAGAGAAATGCCTTTATTTTATATGCTTGACGAAGCCCATTTCACAGGTTACATATGTAAAACAAAATCCCTATCCATGGTTTCTTATAATTCACCTGGTATCTCATGTGAATACTTCTGTGCAGAACCGTTCAAATTTGAAGTTGAAAGTGTGGATGGAGACAGTTCTTAGCGGAGCGTCTAATGGGTTTCAGGCATCTGACAGTTCTTCGCACATAGTAAGATCCTCGACGCGCCTCGTCAGATGTATGAGCTTCATCTGCGATATGAGACCGCTTATCTATGAAGACCCCGTGTAGTGTGTTATCGACCCAACCTCATTACATGTCGTGACTCATCATAGTACACCGTGTACTGCTATCCGCTCTATCCGCATGAGCTTCTCTCATTCCGGTAGACGCATCTCGTCGTTGTGCTGAAAGAAAAGCTCCACATCTGTTCGCCGTGGCAAGAGCAGTTTCGTTGTTTTTGCGGATTCCTCGCCGACGGCGTCTTTTAACTTTGGGAAACCAGGTGGACGGGCTATCAGCACGGCATGGTTCTTTTTACCGCCGCACCTCGTGGCTTGTCAGTCGAATGCGTTGTAAATAGATTATGGACTGGCAGACGAGCCTGGAAGGAAGGATCCAGGAACCTTCTGTTGACAGCACCTGCAGCAGTGATGCCTGACGACAGCGTGACGCGACAACGTCCCGTGCTGACGTGTCTACGGATGATGCGTGATCAGCCGCGTTCCAGCCAAGGATACTTGAGGAATGCACGCTCAGACGCAGGCGCTGAGCTTACGACACGTGGCACAACGCCTATATATCTAGTCCACCACATGTTCAACCCCATATTTGACTTAGTATCGAAGGTGCGTACGGGAACGGGAAAGCGATGGACAGGAGCAGAAAAGCAACAAGAGATACGTAAATCTTAAACCTTTTCATCACATGTCAACTGGAGATGGCACGAATTCGCTGGTCCACGTCAGCAGCAGCAGGCCCGACGTGTGGTGGTCCTTCCCTGACAACATCGCCAAGAGACTGCCGTTGCCACCCGGCCGCTGCAGAGAATAGAGGTGCGTGGGGAGGGTTGGGATGAGGGGAGGTGCAGGTGGGGAAAAAGTGGCGGGAAAAGAGAGAGTACGTATTGGAGGATGACTTTTGAGGGGTTGCAAAAAGGGCGGTAGTGGGGGAGAAGAACGGTAGTGGCGCTTGCTTATCCTTGAGTTAGAAGGTTCCTCACACCCTTTCTTGACCTGTTGTGTTCCTATGGTTCTTCCCCAACCCCCCCCACCTGCCATGCTCACTCAGTTCGCGGTATTTCCGTCCTTCCTTCTCTTTTCCTTGTTATGCTTCCGTTTTTCCTTCCCGCGACTCTCACTCTGACTCTAAATCTCTCTCTCTCTCTCTCTTATTTGATTCGGGAGTGCACAAACATTGCTCTTGCGAAATTCCAACTTCTGAGGCACGTCAAAGTAGTTCGAGAGTGACAAAAAGAGCTAATGTTAGTCTCTTCTTATTCATGAGAATTCTAAAAAAGGGGCTAAATCAGTTTCCTTGTTCCCACCCCTTCCCCCACCCACACTATGCCTTTTACAGGGTGATCTCATTTCACGCAAAAACCAGCTTGTAAGTCCCTTCACTTTCCCGCTCTTCAACGCCCTCTCTTAGATCCCCTTTCTTCTTTGCCTTTTTCATATCCCTCTTCTCATATCCTTTCTCCTCGGTTCTCTCTCTTCACAGCTTTTACGTTCCCTCTCTTCATTCATGCATGCTTGCACATCTTCCTTAAACTCCCTCGCCTCTCCTACTCCATACCCACGCTGCTCGCCTCCCTCCCTCCCTCCCTCCCTCCCTCTCCTCCATCCCTCCCTCCCTCCCTCCCTCCCTCCCTCCCTCCCTCCCTCCCTCCCTCCCTCCCTCCCTCCCCTCGACCACCTGTACTCCCTGTCCGTGTCAATAATTTTTCTCTCCTCTACACAAAATTTACTTCTGAGGATTTGTAAAAGCCCTTCCTGCTCGCCTTCCTCCCTCCCTCCGTCCGTCCCTCCCTCCGTCCATCCCTCCCTTCCTCCCCGCCCCACCTTCACTCCCCGTCCGTGTCATACTCACCATCCCTCCTCTCCACCTTCCTCTCCCAGCCCATTCCACCTCTGTCCATGTTGATCCATCTCCATCTCTCTCAACCTCCCCATGGCTTCGAATCCCGCACCTCATGAGGCGAGTCCTGAGAGGGCTTGTGTCCTGAGAGGGCATGTTGTGCTCTTCGTCAACCTTTCCCCCTCCTGCCCTCATTTGTAGGCGCCTCAGAAATTGGCATGCTATGGCCTTCGCCCCTTTTCCCCTCCTGCCCTCCCCCTCTCCCTCCCTCTCTCACGTTTGCTCCCTCTCCCGTTCCATTCCACGAACTACTCCCTTCCCCCGCCTCCTGTCTCCTTCCCCTCACTGCTCCCGTTCTCCCCGCCAGGTCCCCTTCTTCACACCTCCCCTACCAAGCAACAAGAGTCTGTTTTGCACCAGTGCTGCAAAAACCTCACACGTAGCTCAGATATTGCCCTGTTGCGCTCCCCCACCCTGTTCTCCTCCTCCGCCCTGTCCTCCCACCCCAATTTCCCGCTACCAGCCCGCCCTGTCCCTGCCCCCCCCCCTCCCCTCAGTGAGCGACAGCAGTCTGGCGGGCATAGGAGGGGCGGCTGTGGGACTGCCTGATACCATACTGAGCTTCTCAGAGTGCTGCTTCTCAAATTGGCCATGGTGAGGGGATCAAATGGAGGTAGGCATGTTTGGTGGGGGTGGGGGTGGGGGAACGGGTATAGGAAGGAAGGGGGGCTCTGAGTTTGAGGCCCGCCATGCTGAGCTTCTCAGACATGTTGCTCATGCAGGGCAAGCGTGCCGTGCCGTTGGGGGTGTTCAAGTGGAGGTATAGTGCGGAGTGTGGCTGAGGGTGGGGATGGGGAAGTGTGGTGGGCGTGGGTGGATTTTTAAGTCGACTTAAAAATCGACTCATCACACGCAGTGTGTGGGCGTGGTGTGGTGTGGTGTAAGCTGGGCATGTGATGAGTCCATCTGGTGTATCACATCATGTTTACCATGGATGTTATTGTATGATCGACCATGTCGTGTCTGACGAGATCTTATCTGGAGAGGGGACTGACTGGTTTCGTATGGTGTTACATTACATTTCTCTGTGTGGTGATAGAGTTGTGTGATGAAACAGACGTTTTCAAGAGATCCAATTAAGCAAACGTGCCTGATAGCAAATCTGCTATTCACGCTTTGGACTGTCTTTCTGCATTGTTCTGTGCGTGGTCCCTTTTTTTACCCGTTACTGCAGCCTTCGTTAGTTGCCTGTACTATGCAGGCTCTTGTTGGTGCAGTATACGCGGAAAAGGTCAGTGCTTCTCACACAACCCCCAAACCATCCTCACACCAACCTCACAGCAAGAGCTCCTCAAGGCTGGCAGCTCCGCTTGCTTATCACCTCTTCTGATAGTGTTGATAGTGCGGTCGGGTGTTTCATTGTCCATCAGTAAAGCCCCTCTCCTACACCACCCACAACCCCCAACTCACTGTCTTTGGACCATTAGTGTAGCTACGTCCACACTCACTCCGTCCTCTCTGCGCACATGCCCTCCCATTCCATCTCGTCTCCATCCTTATCCAACCCCCTTCCCCCTACCCTTTCTCTCCCCGCTCCTTGTTCCCTTCCCTCTCCCCATTCCCTTCCCCGTCCCCATTCCGTTCCCTCTCCCCGTTCCCTTTTCCCTCCCTGACCTTCCCGGCCCCATTCGCTTTCCCCCCCCCGTCCCCCTTCCCCCTCCTCGTCCCCTTCCCCCTCCCCGTCTACTTTCGCCTCCTCATCCTCTTCCCCTTCCCTGTCCCCTTCCCCCTGTCCCCGTCCCCTCCCCCTTGTCCCCTTCCCCTTCCCTGTCCTTTCTCCCCGTCCCCGTCCCCCCCTCCCTGTCACCCTCCCCATCCCCATCCCCGTCACCATCCCCGTAACAATTCCCTACTCCATCCCGTTAACAGTCCCCTGCCCCCCCCATTAGGGCCTGGAAGCAGCGGCAGCCTTTGTGACACGCCTGCTGCCCTCACTAGTCGACTCGCGCACTGTTGCTCCACACACACAGAACTTGGAGTTTGGGCAGCAGTATGAGCAAGAACCTGGGCATGAGCACCGGCAGCGGCTGCAGCATTTCCAGCAGGACTGTGGGAGCGATGTGAGGGTGGTGGGCGACGAGAGGATGGGCGATGTGAGGGGGGGCGATGCTGCAGGAGCAAGGAGAATGGATTCTTCAGAGCAGTATGACCCCGTGGCTTGCCTGAAATCACTTTTGAGAATTCTCAAAAGTGATTTCAAGGAGAATGGATTCTTCAGAGCAATATGACCCCGTGGCTTGCCTGCAGGAGCTGACTCTCCGGCACTTGGGGCTCGTCCCACAGTACCAGTGCGTATGAGTGGAAACATCATCAAGGTTTATAGGCTTCACCGTGCTACAGGCTCCACTCCACTGGGAGGGGAGAAGAAAGGGCACTTGCATGGGCTTTCTCTGCTTGAGAATGCTCGTTTGTTCTCTATCCGACCCCTTCCCTCAAACGGTCCGTTGTATTAATTCTGCAGGGGTACAAACATGCAGTTCTATCCATTATGACCTCAATCCCTTAAGCCCATTAACTCACCCCTCTTCCCCCCCCCCCCCCCTGAGTGACCCTCTAGCCCTCCAACGTGTGGAGGATGTCCCCTAGGTGCAGCAGCCATGGGTCCGCTGCCATCTGGGGGTGCGCTGCCTCAATCCCAGCCCTGGCCTTGGTGTGCAGGGCGTTCGCCTGGGAGCGCTGGAGGGCCACTGACCAGCGCTGGCTGAAGTGGCAGGCCATCTTCTTGGCGGATGCTGGCATCTTAGTCACTAATCCCCTTATCCCCCCATACAACCTTTTCCCTTACCTATCGCGCCCCTTCACCTATTTTTCCTGTCCATACCTTGCCTCCACACCCTCTTTCCCCCTCCACCCGTCACCATGTGAACACCCTTTGCTTATGGCAAGCAGCTTCATAGGGACAGGCAACACACACACACGCCCCACGTGACAGAGAGGGTGCGAGTGTATGCAGCAGGGAGGAGGATGGGCACGGGCATGGGGCCGACAGTGGCGGAGGCAAAGCGAGATGGAGCAGCCAAGGCACTGCTCGCATGGGGTAAGGTGTTCGGGGGAGGAGTGGGGGAGTGAGGGAGCAGGGTGCGAGGTGAGTGGGGTGCGGAAGAAGGGACGACTTTAGGTGAGAGAAGAGAGCATTATGCTTTGCGAGATGGAGGAGCTTTGCTACTAGGTAATTGATCCCAGGCTGTGGTCATCTAGGAAGTGTATGCTGTGGTAACTCTGGAAGTGTGTGCTGTGGTAACCTTGTGGGTGTGTGCTGTGGTAACCCGTGGGTGTGTTCTGTTGTAATCCTGGAAGTGTATGATGTGGTACGGTAACTCTGGAAGCGTATGCTGTAAATCATTGGAAATTTATCTTGAGCATGGGTCATGCGGCTCATCAGTGTTGTTGGTCGGTGCAATGCGATGACGCTTGGAGGGGGAGAGTATTGGTGCTCTGGTCTGGTCTGGGGGAACTTTGCGAGATACTTTTGAGTTGTGCACGGTTGAAGACGAACCACAAGCTTAGGCAAAATGTCACCACCACACGTGGCAACAGGAGACAGGCCAATTTATTTTTGTTCTACCAGTAACCTCAGAGTCAGAATCAGCACTTCGTTCAAATCACATGCCGAATCTGAAGCCCGCATTCTTGGTAGATGGTTCGATAGCAGAATCGCACTTAGTTCCACAGAATACCAACTCTATTTTAACATGAATGCTTTCTTAACCGGTGAAGTTATGTGATTACTACTGTGTGCGGTGATACGGAAAGTATTGTTACTAGTGAAGTCGTGGGTTGAAAGTGCAGACTGAGACAGTTCTTAGCGGAAAATTTCGGATTGTCCTCGGAAGCATGCAGAAATACTTGAACCTCACACATCGCGGCAGTATTTCCGAGAGAATTGCCGCGGCACGGGCTTTGCCCTCGTGAATTTTTTCATCGCGCTCAAAATTTTCCACAACCCAAAAGACACGCGCTCCACCTTCTGTCCCGCGCTTCCCGCGCTCCCGACAATTCGTATCGGAAAACTGAGTGTAGCTATTAGTGTACGGTCACCTCGAAAATGTTGCCAGGATTTCACACGGTCGCCTCCAGTATTCGTGGAACCAGACCTCAATTTCCGAGGGAGCCCAAACCTACGTGGAAAGGTTTGGCTCGAACCTAGCCATGAGCATTTTATCACCGACAACATTTGAGCGCCAAATGGCAGTCAGGTAACTGCACTTGTAAACCTCCCGGGACTCTACTGACGCTCTTTTGAGCGTCGCAGCGCGAACATAAGCCAATACATGGCGGGGGATCTGTCATTCATGCGCCAAATGGCAGGCAGGTACACGGCTAGTTTACACATTGACACGAGAGATGTTGTCATTACACGTTATCAAACACGCACCAATAGCCAATTGCCATTTCAGGGAAGTGAATGAACATTTGATTCCATGCGATTGCTGTATGTGGCGCCGAGCGAGCAACGACCACTGGGGTGACTCCAACACCTCAAAATTGTTCACGCTTATTATCCACAAGTGTGAACGTAGTTGCCAACCGAGCGCCACACAGGATGACAAACCATGCACCAAATGTGTGTACACGTGGTCCGACCTTCGTGTTTTACGTTTCCGCGTCAGCTGAAAAGACAAATGTGGTACAAATGGCAGGCAGGTATAAGGCGGTGATCTCCGCGCTAATGTTCATTGGATCTCTTCGTTTCCAACCACGCAACATTTGTACCAATAGGCGCCCGCCCAGGGCCTATTTTTGGATTTTAGGTACTCTGATTTCCAGAGTAGTTTTTTTTTCCCAACTCTGAAATCTAGGGTTGTTCCTGCGCCTTACTCTGATTTGTCAGAGTAACCCTATACTTAAAAAAAAAAACCAGGCACGTCAGAGTAATATTTTTCTCTATTCTGATGTTAGTTAAGTTTGGTGTACCATGACCTTAATAGGTTTTTGTTACGCCTTTTGTACTTGCATTATGTTTCATTTCCGCGTCGCCCACGTTTCCCCCCTCACTGCGATGTTTCAGAGTGAGGTGTTGGCGGCACCGATAATCTGACTAAGAGCGTGTCTGAAGTGAAATTTCGACGGATGTACAGTTCCGTCGGGGAATGCTGACAAATCTCAACCCTCGGACTGAGCGTTCCGACCGTCAGGATTCCTCGACGTCCCTCAAAGTTTCGTCGGGAAACGTCGACGTTCACTTCAGACATAAAGAGATAGAGGACTGGCTGGCATCGTGTGCTGGCTGGGAAAGTTGTCAAACTACGGTAGCCAATCAGCGCTCATATTGCCGCCAACACACGACAGAAATCAGGAGAATGATCTCGACGATTCGGGGAAAACCCGCTAAACGCAGGGGCGGGTGGGGAGGGGAGGGGGGCCGGCAGGTTTTCCTATACAGAGTAAATTCGGTCCCCGAAAAAAAAACCCAGAGGCCTCAGAGTAAACTACAGCATAACTCTGACAAATCAGAGAAATCGGAAGTCCCAAAAAAATTACCCAGCGGGTACAGAGTTACTTTCAAAAATGACTCTGATTTTCAGAGAAACAGAGTAATTTACTCTGAAAACGTGAGGCCTGCGCCCGCCGTTTCGTGCACAACGCTGGACAAGTTTTCGTGCATTGAGCAACATACACTTGCTCATTAACTAGACGCGTGCATTGACCAACGAGGAGCATACAACGCAGCACATCCCTGCTGATTCTTATCAACAAATAGAGTGCATGCCAATTGGCTTGCACGAGATCGGCTGGCGACCGCTTGTACCAATGTGCTCCCGCCGTGTAAACTGGGTGAATGTCCACGTAAATACATTTTCATCTCTACGATCGTCTAAACACCACAACGTAATCATGCACGAACGAGGGTACGCAAACACAACACCTGTAGTGCCCAACGTTATCAAGCCACGTCGGCTTAGCTGTCACCTCATGGCTATCATTCACATATATTCGTAGCGCGAACTCCAGCCAATCGGAGCGTCCCGTGTTCAGTGCCGAACAAAATTATCAACTCTTCACGTTACGGGTCCTTGCTCATCACCCTATATTGATTGTCCGAGCTCGTAGCTTAGCTATTCGGGCGCTTCACCTGTCCCTTCCCACTAACAAACGCCTAAACTTATGCTCTCGCTTATTAGCATTCTAAGGAGCTGCGAATCCTCCACCAGTTCTCTTTCTGTCAGCTTCCTACAAATCCATAGCACACTCATATTCCATCAAGCCCAATGCCTACGGGCAGGCCGGACGACCCTGTTAATCTCGGAGACAATGACGACGAAGAACTCGTCGAGGTAGATGCTCAATCTGAGCACGTAGAGGCCGGCGTTGAAGATGCTGCCAAGGGCCTTGGTGCCCGCACCCGTACACGTAATAGGGGCGGACAGCAGAGTAAACGCGCACGGACGACGGTTGCAGAACAGCATCACCCTAGTGGCCCGTCCACACGGTCACACCGTTCTAGAGTCATAGACGAACCATACTCGTTCGCTCCCTCTGCCTCCACCCCGGAATGCGTTACCCCCGGCATAGGATCTCATAGCCGATATGGCCCAGAGCACCAAGCAGCTCCCAGACATAAACGCGTCGTGTTCACCAAAAGAAAGAACCATCGGTGATGAGTGGAAACTGGACCCACACAAGTTAATGTCTCGATATTGGCATGGGTTCGGCACATCGTTG